ATAAGTGGTGTTTTACCATAGATATAGATGTGATGTTGTCAGAATATAAGAGGGTATTTCATACCATGAGGCTGGAAGCAAGGGAGTGGGTCTAGAGTAATGTGGAGAAATGCGCCAACATTTTTTTTTAAGTTACAACATGTTTGTATGCCATTGAGAATGATTCAGTAAAAGGGAGGTATTGATGCTGCAGGAGAAAAGTGGAAGAATTATAGGAACGAAGTCCTCGATTAGGTTAGAGCAGAGGAAGCCAGTATGCAAGTGGACTGGGGAAGCTCCACAGGAGCATCACAGACCTCACTTGGCTGAGGTGCAACAAGGGAACTTGACTGAGTTGCAATTGCCATTTCCTTGTTAGCATTCCTCATTAGATTGTAAGCCCAGAGAGGGCAGGGATCCTTCGTAATGTGTTCAACATTATACTACAGTTCCTGATGCAACGTCTGGCTCATCTGACAAAGTTGATAACTGTTTGCTGTGTTAGATGGACAAGTAAACAAATTATCCTATTTGGCCAAATGTAGTTCATAAATAAACATCTGTTCACTTGCATGGAATATAAAAATGAAAAACTTAGGAGAATATAACCAAAGTAGGAGGAAAAAGTGACATTTTAAATATCTTCAGTTTGTTAGATATCCAAAACTTTTCTATTAATGAATGTTTGGATATTTTCTAGATTGTTGAGATAAATTGAATTAAAATAAATTAAATAATAATTGCTAACATTTGTGAGTGCTTATATGTGTCAGGAATTCTTCCCTTAAGCCTTTATATTATCATCTCACTTAATTCTTATATCATCCCTTAAATATCTACTACTGTTATTATTATTACACTTTAAAGATGAGGACCTGAGCCACAGAGATGGTAAGGAATTGCCCTCAGATTAGACAGCAGCTACTTGGTGGCAGAGTAGGAATTGAAACCCAGACAACTTCTCTCCAGAGCCCAGGTAACTAGTCACTTTCAGGCCTTCTAATCCCCAGTCTACTACGCCTTCGCTATTTAAAAAGTGAGGAATAAATTAAATATGAAAATAACTCCACTAAAACATACCACGTAAAGTCAAAGGATGAATGACAAACAGGGAAAAATATTTGTAATTCATATCAGAGACAAGACTAATTTATGAATTGATCATAGAAATATGTAAGAGAAAGACAGGAGACTCAATGGAACAATGGACAAAGGAAATGAATAGTTTGCAAAGAAAAACATACATATGGCCTTTAAGTGTATGAAAAAATGTGCAATCTGACTCAATAAGAGAAAGGCAAATTAAAACCGTGCCGAAATAACTTTTTTTTTTTAAATCTCTGAGGTTGACAAATATCAAAAAGTTGGCCTACAGTTGCTGTGGCAAGGCTATGAGAAACAAGTACTCTCTTACCCTGCTGGTGAAAATGCAAAATAATACAAATAGGGCAATTTTAGCACTGTCACAAAGTGATTAGCTTTTGACTCAGATCACTCTGGGAATTAATCCTCAGGCACACCTAACCACTTACAGAATGATACATAAACAAGGATATTCATTGCAATATTATTAATAGTGCAAAAGATTGGAAACACCCAAATGTTCACCAGTAAGAATTAATCAGCTATGAGAATGAAGAAGCTCCCTCATACTGACTCAGAGAGTTATCTAGGATATGCCATAAAAAAAAAAAAAAAAGGGAAAGTAAAAGATAGTATATATAATATGATTATCATTTGTGAAAGACTGGGAGAGAATAAGATTACATATGAGTCTATGGTTTAAATCCACAAAAGAACTACTGGAAGGATACTTAGAAACTCATATATGTGACATCCTGTAGAGGTAGGATCAGGATCAGGTGGGGGTGAAGAAGTGTTTTTAAAACACTTTATACATACTTTAATATACTTCACATATAATAACACAAACCTCACAGAAAGTCATGACTGGGGAAAGTAAGATATTCAATGTGTACCGTGTTTTATTTTTGATCTTTGAACCATGTGCATATTTTGTTATTTACAAATTAGAGAGAAAAAGTACTGATAGGTACACTCACAGAGCACTTCCTGTTTACCTGGCGCTGTGTAAGCATGTTGTTTTTGTTATCTCAGGTATTCCTCACAGCGGGAGACATTATCTTTCCCACTTAGCAGGTGAGGGACAGGTTTAGAGAAGTTAAAGAATTTACTTAAGGTGCAGAGCCAGTAAATTGTGGTGCCTGGGATCAAACCCAGGCTGCCTGGCTCCAGAAGCAGTGCTCTGAGCTACTAATCTACGCTCAGGGTGGTTTCTAACATTGATGGTCTACCTTGAGAAACATAAGACATGATGTCCCCCTCATGGCCAGTTCTCATGGCCACATTAATCTTCGTTTACGAAAAAAAAAGAAGAAGAAGAAAAAGGAAAAGAGAAAAACAGTAGTTAGAAATCCCTGACAGTTCTCCAGTAATAATAGGTCACTGTAGCTGTGGCTAAGATGTCTTCAGCCATGGGAGAGCCCTGAAGGCTAGTTGTAATTCCAACCCTTCCTTCCTAAACAAGAAAGATATCAAAGTGAAAGCACAGCAAGGTTATTATTTTTTTAAATACCTGATATTTATTAAGTTCTTACCATGCGCCAGGCACAGATGTCATAAGTACATTACATGTATACCTATTTAATGTTCACAACAAAAACCTTATTAGATAGATGTTATCATTACCACTGTGATGAGTTGAATTGTGCCTGCCCGCCATCCCTGAAAGGTATGTTGAAGTCCTAATCCCCAGATAATTATTTGGTCTTAAGTGTCAAATAAGATTGGGACCTTATTTGGAAATAGGGTCTTTACAGAGGTAATGAAGTTAAAATGACATCGTTAGGGTGGGCCCTAATCCAATCTGACTGGTGTCCTTTTAAAAAGGGGACATTTTTATAAAGACACACACAATGGGAAGATGATGTGAAGATGGTCTTGTGATGATAGAGACAGAGACTGAAATGAGAGACCTGAAACCAAAAAACAAAATACAAGGGAGTGCTGGCCACCACCAGAAACTAGGAGGGACCCTTCCCAGAGTATCTGAGGGAGCATGGCCCTGCCAACACCTTGATTTCAGACTTCTAGCCTCCAGAACTGTGAGACAATGCATTTCTTTTGTTTGAAGCCATCCAGCTTGTGGTGCTTTGTTACGGTAGTCCCAGGACATAAATAAAACCACATCTTACAGACGAGGGAACCCAGGTACAGAGAGGCCAAGCAACCCGCCCAAACTGACACTGTTGGTAAGTAATGGGGCCTCGACCTGAGCCTGAGAAGTCTAGCTTCAGAGGAATGCTTTATTCTGAGGGTAAATTTATATTTTTAAAAGTTATTTTGCAATTTTCAGTTAGCTATTATTCAAACAAATCATCTCACTTCATGACTGAGGGCTCTGAACACTCTGTTTTGACTTCAACCCCCGTCAAAGGGCAAAGCACAGAGCGTTCAGAGCAGGGCAACCCGGGCAAACTCAAGAGGGCATAGCAATGGGAGCCCACGAAGCTAAACCAAACTCAGCCGTGCAGCTGCTGGAGCTGGGGTCCAGCTAAGGGGGCCTTCCGGTTCTCCCTGAAACAGCTGAGTGTGGCCAGGACCCAGGGGGTACACACTTCAAAGCAATAGAAGCTCCCCCACAGCCCCTCATTTTTGATCAGCAGGAGCCGCAATCTAGGAATGTGTGTTGTTTGAATTATTATTATTTTTTTTTTTTTAGCTTAAGACAGGGTCAGGTGAAGTTCAAGAGAGCTAAAGCAACTTGGAGGAACTGCCTTTCTACATTCCTTTTGTGCCCAGATGCCCACCAAACAAAAATATGTCCTGAATGGTACAATGCTTTACAGATAATATGGAAAGAGGAGGGATGAAGGAAAGGTCTGGTCGAGCACTGGATGCAGCGCCCATGTTTGTCTGTCTAGCACCTCTGGGTGCCCCCTCCTGAAAGATGCAGCCCTGTGAATAACCCACTTGGTGAGTGGAGCCCAGGCTGAATGGTGGCCTCCAACTGCAGCCAAGAGGCAGGCGAAGATGTACTGGAGACAGACATCAAAGTTCAAAACAGCATTTGGGTAAGCCAAGAGTCAAATGACCAATGGGGAATTAGAAGCAGATTAAGGTTATGTCTGAGCAGAGGAACAGGGCCAGGGCAGACATTCCCCCCAGCCATACTGCTGAAGTGAGGAATATTTCAGTACTTTCACCAGGACAGATCATCCTGTATTGAATTACACAGTTCGATGTCTATTCCGATGACTCCAGGTTGGAAGGAAGGATGCCTCATGTGACCCTAACCTCCACCATTTCTTGGTACAGTGTAGGTGTTCAATAAACACTTATTATCTGGGTGATTTGTTTCCTGGGTGACTTGCCATAGGCTTTGCATTCCTGATTAGGATCAGAGAAAAAGGAGAAAAAGTGTCTTCGGTCAAAGCCTGAGTGACAGGTCTGCATCACCACAATTCTGGAACGGAAGAAGTATGACCTAAATCCCAAATGGCCCTAAACAAAACGCATGCCTCTGAACACAACTCAGGATGTCAAGGAAAAGAAACAAAATAGTTAATCTTTGCCTAAAGTGGAGGCAAAAGGGTGATGTATCCAAATGTTAAAGGGGTCAGACATTGAGGCAGAGTGAGGGAAAGATTAATTTCCTTAATTTTAAACTTCTTAGACATCAGGCACTAATAAACCCAGGTTTATCACACACTGGTGAAAACAAGCTTTATTTTATAATTCCAAATATTTAAAGAATACCTCAATCTTAACATTTGAGTGTCTTGTTGAAAATAAATACCTAGAAACAGCAGCAGATTTCCATAGAAAACTTGCAAAGATGCACCCTATGTATTTTCTTATCTTTTTTCTAAGTTTAAATGCTAGGGCTCTGTATATTGCAATGTGGATTAACATTGTTATGTACTTTGCTGCTAAAAAGACCTTGAAATGCTAATCCTACAGGAAACTTCCAGAGACAAGCAGAAAAGTAACTGACTCACCTGGGCGTGTACTCTGCTGTGAGGACGCTTATTTCTAAAATGCAGATTGCAGCTGCAAAGATCCGGTAGGCTGACATGCTGCTCTTGCTGGGTGGCTGCGAGTGGGGTGGCAGAGCAGGTCGGGTAAGGCATTTATTTGCAAAGGGCCAGAGGACAGGGAACAAGTATTGTTTGTCTGCATTCAGGGTTTTTGTCAATTTGGGTGGCCTGGGTACTGAAGTCCAACCAAAGGAGAATAATTTTGTAATTCTTGGCCTCCTGCTTTCTCATATTGACAAGTAGATGTAGGGCAATGGGCCTGTGAATGCTGAAGTCCCTAAGATGGGCAGCAGTGCTGTGTGAAAACGGAAACAAAGGCTGGGCACGGTGGCTCACGCCTGTAATCCCAGCACATTGGGAAGCTGAGGTGGGTGGATCACCTGACGTCAGGAGTTCGAGACCAGCCTGACCAACATGGTGAAGCCCCATCTCTACTAAAAATACAAAAAATTAGCCAGGCATGGTGGTGGGCTCCTGTAATCCCAGCTACTCTGGAGGCTGAGGCAGAAGGATCGCTTGAACCTGGGAGGCAGAGGTTGCGGTGAGCCGAGGTGGGGCCACTGAACTCCAGTCTGGGCGACAAGAGCAAAATTCTGGCAAAAAAATTTAAAAAAAAACAACCCAGAAACAAAAATAAAGAACCCCCAGCAGTTCTTATTTTGCAAGACTCGAGGGGTTGGGTGGAAGATGAGGGAGTATGCAATTTTGGGGGAAAAAAAGCCTGTGGATGCTTCTCATGGAGGCATAAAGTCAAAGTTAGTAAAGAACTGCACTTAATGGAAAGGATGGCACAGACGTAGATGCTTCTTTTTTTTTTTTTTTTTTTTAAATCTGCAAATGGGCTGTGTGGGTTATTTCCATGTGAGCAAATGCATTTACAATCCTGGCTTTCCTTATGGGCAGAGTGGAACATTTTGAAGAATGAGATGTAAACTCCCGAAGGCATTAAGGGCATCCACCAGAAAGACTGGTCTCCTTATCTCAGCATCACACATGTCAACAAGATAGAATCTGAGATAGAAAACTTGTTCCTGCCCATGAAAAAGAATTTCCCCCTCACATTTCACGCTTCCCAGCACTTGTGGGAAGAGCAGTGCATTTTTGGGAACATCAGAGAATGTGAACATCACAACTGCTCTTAAAGCATTGACTGCAAAAATAGAATGACCCGGGGACTCTTGAGAACAGTAGTGATGGCTGCCCGCTGTCCGCTCAGCTCTAAGTTGATTGACTTGTGATGACACCCTGCATCCATGCTTTCAAAATCATGCTTTTGTGGTTCATTCTAACGTGTAGCCTGGGTTGAGATGGAGGATGACTACCTTGAGAAGAAGGACATCAGACATCTCTGGATATAGTTCTTAAAGGGACTTCATCAGTATTGTTATTACCTATAGGTAAATTTCAAACATTAGCACATATAAAGACCTGCAAAACAAGGGGTGGGGTTGAGGGAAGACAGAATATACAACTATTTTGTCCAATACTGCCTTACCTTTTCCACTGATCTTCCTACCTGGGGTAAAAGGTATCTACTTTCACCTACTTTCTTGGTCCCTCTCCTTTTTATGCAGAGAATTTGAGGTCTTTAATGGGACTGATCTCACCTCTTCCTGAGCTTGCTGTGGAGTGTAGACCATGCAGAACTGCCAAGTAACAAGATGATTCGAATGGAGGCCACAACTCTTGTAACTATGTCATGGGATGAGTCCATGCCTGAAAGACACTTCCTGTGAGTCTTGGCTAATAACAGGTGGGCTACATTTGGAAACCGTACAAATCTGTCAAATATGCTGTAGCAGGGCAGGCGCAGTGGTGCACCCCTCTAATCCCAGCACTTTGGGAGGCAGACACGGGTGGATCACTTGAGGCCAGGAGTTTGAGACCAGCCTGGTCAACACGGTGAAACTTCATCTCTACTGAAAATACAAAAATTAGCCGGGTGGAGTGGTGTGCTCCTGTAATCCCAGCTACTTGGGAGGCTGAAACATGAAAATTGCATGATCCTGGGAGTCAAAGTTTGCAGTAAGCTAAGATGGCACCATTATACTCCAGCCTTGGTGACAGAGTAGGACTCTGTCTCAAAAAAAAAAAAAAAAAAAACACCCGAGACTGGGTAAATTACAAACAAAAGTGGTTGAATTGACTCACAGTTCTGCATGGCTAGGGATGCCTCAGGAAACTTACAGCCATGGTGGAAGGTGAAAGGAAAGCAAGGCACGTCTTAAATGGCATTAGGAGAGAGCAAGAGTGAGGAAGTGCCATACTTTAAAACCATTAGCTGGCTGGGCATGGTGGCTCACGCCTGTAATCCCGGCACTTTGGGAGGCCGAGGCGGGTGAATCACCTGAGGTCAGGAGTTCAAGACCAGCCTGGCCAACATGGTGAAACCCTGTCTCTACTAAAAATACAAAAATTAGCGGGGCGTGGTGGCAGGCGCCTGTAATCTCAGTTACTCAGGAGACTGAGGCAGGAGAATTGCTTGAACCTAGGAGGCGGAGGTTGCAGTAAGCCGAGATCGCGCTGTCACACTGCAGCCTGGGGGACAAGAGCGAGATTTCGTCTCAAAAACAAACCATTAGCTCTCATGAGAATTCACTCACTATCACAAAAACAGCACAGGAGAAACTGTCCCCTTGATCCAATCACCTCCCACCAGGTCACTCCCTCAACATGTGGGGATTACAATTTGAGATGAGATTTGAGTGAGGACACAGAGCCAAATTATATTATATATTATATTTTATAAATTATATAATTATAATATATAGTATGTAATAATATATTACATACTATAATGCATACTTATATAATCTATATATTATATAAATATATAAAATATAGGAATAATATGCTTTACATTTTTATAAGGCTTTTAACTCTTTCTTGTCCTTAACATTTATCATGTGTCTGACATGATTTGAAATGAGGCTTATGTTTCTGTGTGTATGTCACAGAAATAAAGCATCATCATGCGTTAGACTAGAGCAGTGAACATAATAACATTTTCATTTGTAGAACACTTACAGGCTTCCAAATTACAAAATAAATGTTTATTGAACTTCTAATATGTGTCAGGCCATATATACATATATATGCAATTTCATTTAGTCCTCAAAATAACCTGTTTTACAGCTGAGGGAATGGAGACGCACTGAGATTACATCATTTGTCCAGCATTAGCCAGGGATGGGTAACTGCAAATTTGTACTTGCTATATCTGGCTCCACATCTCAGGCTTTTCCTACCTTGCTATCGCTATTGTTATTATTTTAACTATGTCATGTTGCTTATAGGGTGCTTTACTATAAAATTTCTTACTGAGTCCTATCAACTCCATAGAAGGTAAGCTTTTATTCTAGTCTCACAGATGAGGCTCAGAGAAATACCTGCAAGGCTACACACACAGAAGAGGCAGGGGTGAGATGTGAACAAACCATGTCTTTAAACTCTGATTCTAGGGTTTTCCACTCTGCCGAGGGTTTTCACCAATCAGTTGCCCTTTGTTTTCTTCTTAGTTTCAATTTTCTTGGAACTTTGTGATAGTGAACTAAGTTTTTTACTTAATAATACTTTTCCCAGTTTTTAAGGCAGACACAGGCATATGTACATTAAAACTCTGACCTGCAGGCAGAAACACTTAATTTTTACTGATTTGATATAAATGTGTTGAGGGTCATTTCCATTTGGCTCTTTTATAGTGATGGAAACTGTTTCTTGAAAGTCATTTAGCAGTAAGTAAAGGGATCTTAGTGTACATTCCATAGCTGTTTCTTTCCGACTGTCCAAAGATCCACAGTTCTCGCAATACCACGGTGAAATTTTAGGGCTTCCACTTACAACATGTGTAGTCAGTGGAGATAACTAGACTCATTGAATAGAGAGAACTTGGAGATCACGGTCAATTGCAGGTTTTAGGTGTGTCTTATTTGCTGTTATGCCCCTCACAGCTAGCATTGCGTCTAGCACATTTATGAATTACAAGCACTAACAGATGAATGAATGAATGCAGATTGGGAAAATGACATCCTTGTTCTTAAGGTCAAATGGTTAGGGCAGGGGAAGCATCAGAGCCCAGCTCTCTTCCTTGTTGGTCCTGTGCCATTTTCCTTCTAGCACTTTCAGATGAACTCTTTTATAATGAAGGAGGAAAGAACAAATTTCTCTACTGAGTGGTTCTGGAGCTGTTTGTGAAGTTCAGTCGAGGTGATGTAAGTCTGGCTGTCCCTTTACAGTAATAAGGATTCCTGTGGCTTAGATCTGTTTACCATCACATGGAACTATGTAGGGCACACTTGATTACATTATAGCATTTCATTTTAAAGGAAGACTCAGCACAATCCTCTTCTCTTTTGAGGTTCTCAGTGTCTGTCTATGCCATGTCCTACCCTTTTGTTCACCAATACTCTTGACTATTTGTAAGACTCCCTCCCCACTCAGACTCCAGCCTCTTCTCCAGTCATTTCAGGATTTTCATGGGTGCCTCTCTGCCCTCCTCTTTTCTGATTTTGCCAACTCTATCAATATTTATCTTAATTCCATTCAGCCCTCTGCTATACCCCATTTCTATGGTGATCAATTAGTCTAAGTAGGTACAAGTGGAGGCAGCATCAGACACACCCCAGAAGCATCCTCCACTCAATTCCAGTCCAGTCAGGTTACCCTGTAACTTTTAGAGCAGTAATGATTCTGCTTTCTTATAAGTAAGATAAAATAATGATTGAAATCAACCAAGTGAATAAAGAGTTGAGAGAAAATTCTACAACCAATATCACAAGGAAAACTTAGTCATAAAGAATTTCAGAGTTGGGCTTTTTTTTTTTTTCCTTCCATTTTTAACAACCTCATCTTTCATCTCTGCAGAAGGCCAGCTTCTTTGTCACTGAGCAGCCCACACCATGGTCTTGCTAGAGACAAGCACTTGTCTTGTACGTGGATTTCAGTACGTGGTAGAAGTTTAGTAATTAAATACAGGACACAATTCCAAGCAAGGGCAAATGAGGGGCTTGGCCACTCATCAGGTGAGATGACAAATGGCTGGCCCTTGTCCATCAGCATTGCTGTAATTACGACGTGTTAACAGAGCTGCTGCCAGTACATAGCCTTGTACATGTCCCTGTTGGTCATATCAGCCTAGATCATGAGTTTTAATTATTTTTAGCAGAAGGGAATTAGCTCAAAACATATCATTTCCCAGCAATAATTATTTGTTTTGTTATTTAGCAACCTCCTCAAATGGTAATAGCTTAAATATTTACTAGGGGCTTTGGGGCAGCTCCCATCTTTTCCTGGATTTTGTATTAAACCTATTCCGGGAATATGGGTCAGAGTCCTCACTCATCAGGTTATTCCACGGCCAACCAAACTCCTGAGTTAGCTACATCCTCTGTTCCCT